GGCCGCGACGCCAAGCAGTACGTGCTGTACCACGTTACTGGCCATAGGTACTATTATGTATATGAGGATTATCATCATGGGCCTTGGGAGTGGTGCTGCTCCTGGCCACCTCATGTTCGTCGCGGTATTTCTGGTCTTCTTCGTGGACACGTCCCAGACGTCAGTATTTATGATCCGGCGTGTTATTTGCCAATTTACAAACTACTAGATTTGGCGAAGGCCAAATTCCCTGATTACGCTGGTTCTATGAATGTTTTTGAGTTGATTTCGATGGCTATTTATGACCACAAAGATCGTTTCGAATTTCAATGCGTGTACGACTCTCGTGTGAACGAACAGCTCGAACTTTTCGCCGCCCCCGTCAAGATCCGATGTGGACAAGGCCACACTGACGACGTTCTCGAGACGCGATCAAATGAAGTGCTAGCAGTACTAATCTACTGCCGTCCTGACCATGTACACAGGTACAATGCTCGTTTGACAGCGCACGGGAACTGCGATATACCACCTCGGCTTTACCACCGAACGCATGAAGGTGCTGCGCGATCCATTATTGCGAGCGGGCTCATTCCCGGCGGTGGAGCCGGTGGACCGAAAAGCAAAGGCAATTCCTTCTTTTCAACACAACCTCTGGGAAACCAGAAGGCGATATCTGGTGTTCGTGCTGACCGACCAGTGGAGATTTGTTTTTCAACACCGGATGTGATTGAAGCAGGAGTTGACCTTTTCCTCACAAATTCTGGCGCGGTGATTACCAGCCATCACGTCCCGAATACGTGTATTCTATTTGCAACTCGAGCCCGCGCAAATGCGGAGCCAGAAGTTTTCTATTCGAGGCCGCAGGCATTGGATCCTTCGAACATTGAGGTCGGTGTTCCGCAAGATGATGTGACATTGGTCCCGGGAAAAGTGTCGGAAGTACGCACCATTTTGGAAGGTACAAGCGACGCCACTCCCGAAGAACGCACAGCTAGCAGCAGTGCCGCAAAGAAGGAAGAGATGGAGGCAAATCGCAATACAGCTGTACCGCAGATCGAGAGTGGATATTTTCTACATCTTCGAACTTTCAGCTGCGATAAATGTACGACACTATCCTTAGCAGCAATGGCATCTTGTCATCGATGCGGAGTAGTATTTCAGAGCAATACAACAGATGGACCGATCTCAAAGTTTATGCGACTTCAGATGAGGCGTGCAAAGGTGCTACAAGAGCAGGGGGGCGTGCCCAAGAACATGACCGCAACAAGCATGCTTGACAGCATTGCCGCGCAGGACCTACAGTCTGGACGACCTCCAGCTCGTGGTAGCCCGTCAGTTGACAGTCAGATTATTCTTGCAGCTCGCGGCCGCCTTCGCAAAGCATTGAAATCAGGGTATGAGAATGTATTCGATCGATTCAACCGCGACGACGTCTTCGCTACCTCCTTAACCGGAGAAGGATGCACAGCGTTTGATGCAGCGCAAGAAGACTTGTTTGCGTCACTGCAATTACCGGCACCCACGAGATCAGCGAAGCAGAGATCAAAAGGGAAGTCGGTTGTCAGTGATTTGGATCGACTGGACAGGGTTGACCTCGCCAAGCTCGCGTATATTCGATGCGGTGTTGACAACCTACATACCTGTTTCAAGCAAGGCGTCGACGAGAACTTTCTGATCAGTTATCGCCGAGAGTTTATGTCACTCCGACAATACGCCGCCGTAATTGGCGATAGCCGAGATGAGATCAAGATCCAGGGCTTTATCCCCACGACGGACGTCTATGGCGATATTCATTCAATTCGTATTCCTCGTGGAGACACGACAGGCATTTACAAGATTTTGAGTGAGTTTGCAGAGCAGAATGAAAATTATGCAAGCATTCAATATCAGAGGAACGCGCAACAGTCTGCAAGTGTGCAGGGACGCGATCGTGGACAGCCAGTTTCACAGATGGGCTTCATGAACATCGAACAGCGCATGGCCACGCCTTATCCCAAGTTTGCCGATTGTGGCCAGGACATGTCGTCTGACGAGATTCGACGGCTTGAAGAGATCTTGCTTGAGTTTGGGCAGCGTGGAGCACCATCTCCTCAAGGACCTGTAACAAGGCCCCCGTTGACGCGGAAGCGATCGCAGATGTACATGGAGACTATTGGAGATGCAGACAAACGACCGAGGCTGCAGTGGAGGAGGAAAGAAGACCGAGATCAATCTGGTCGCATTGCAACTTGGGTTGACAACCGGACTCCACCTCCAGGCGTGCCTCAGCCGCCAGCTCCCGTAACAGGGACGCATACCTCGTCGGTATTCCGTATGAATGCACCTCCTGCTCAAGGACAAGTTTCAGGAAAGGGTGACTCCTCTAAACAGGATGTCGGTGAATGGAGAGATGTTTCTGGAAAGGGCAAGGGCCAAGGCAGTTCTTCGGCAGCAGGCTCAGCCGCTCCCGCAAAAGGGACGCCGCGTGGTTCTGTCGCCCGAGCAATTTCCCAGAGCCGTGTCCTTCCACCTAAACGTGGCAACATCCCCAAGAACCTCTTGGGTCCCCCAACTTCACCGCCACCGTTAACTGCACCCAACAACCCACCTGCAACTGGCCTTTCACCAATCTCCAAGCCACGTCCAGCCAAACCTTCACCTCCGAAGGTCCCACCACCAAAGGTGCCTCCTCCAAAGGTTCCTCCACCGAAAGTGCCGCCCAATACAGCCAGTGGCATTCCGGTACATACAAGGCCGACAGATTTCAATCTCACGCCGAAGCCGCCGCCGCTTACAGACCTTTACAGTCGGTTGCAACCTTCCGTAAAAGGAAAGGGCAAGGATAAGCAGCAGGTGAGTGTTCGAGGAGGACCTTATGCTCCACAGCAATGGAATGTACAAAACGTGCCACCGCCGCCATTGCCACCCGGAACTTCATCCGCTTCGGCATCATCGCCACATAATGCACCCTTAACTGGGCCGCCGACTTCCAGCATTCGTGGAACTATTGATCGACCATTGGAACCCTTTGATTTTCCTGGAGTACAATGGCAACGCGATGACCCATGGGGCGAGAACTATTGGCCCAATCACATGGAATTGTGGGAGTGGTTGAGGCAGGGATGGCATGACGAGACGGAGCGTTTTGGAATACAATTTCTTTAAGCAGATGTTGAATAGCTACCATAAATGGTATGCCTCGCAGTTTATGAGTGTTGAGATAAAGATCACCTTCTGACGCGCTGTGAGATGATGTTTCACTTCATTGTCTCACTTCCCAATGCATCCATAACAGGATTGCCATAGTCGGAGAGTGAACTTTTAATCAATGCTTAACACTAACCTGGGCCTAGCATGTTTAACCACATGCCGAGTGAGGCAAAACTGTACATTAGGGTAGCTACGTTCTCCTTGTATAGTGCATGCACGAGCTTGATGAGGGATTTCTAATATGATTCCTTCGTCGCTAGAATTTGATCCTCCCCGAGATTTTCCCTACGGGTAGCTCCTTGTAAAGGGGGGTGTTGAAATTCACCTCATCCCCATGGACCCCGTAGCGTTGGCTCAAGGTAGAGCAAAAGGTAGCGCTTACCGGGCTAGCAGGGTTAGCTAGGTAGTTAGTACTATTAGAGCTGATCCTGTAAAATACACAATGCTTGACAAGGAGCGGCCAGATTTGCCTGATCATGCCATGATCATCTTCTCAGACTTGGACGAGATCCCCAACGGTGAAATGATGCTGGCGATGAAGCACTGTGAATGGAAGGAACCACATGATAAGATTCAGTTCTCCCAGCGCATCGTGACCTGGAACTTGCGCCAGGTGGCAAATGCACCACCGAGATGTCTGCCGCAAGCACAAACTCACCACGGCGGTTTGATCAACTGGACCTGGGCGCGCGATTGGACGCGCAATGGCAACTTTGTCTCTCTGCGAATGGGCAATGCGGCCCTGGTGGAGGCGGGGACCACCCACCTGAGCTACTTTGGCTCACCGCCTGCGCTGATGCTTAAGGGGCTGCAGCACGGTGAGGGGGGTGGGGTGAATCTGCCGAAGGCCTACGAGGTGTGCAACCGGAGTGTCACGGACATCCAGGAGCTCGTCACGACCCTTCGTGATAACCCCATCAGCATTGTTCGAGCCTGGGAACACAAGAGCGCACCCTTACCGAAGGAGACTCCATCCCTGAAGAGGTTGCAGAACTGCGGCGTGCCTTGGGCTTTGCTGGAGAACCAGGAGCGTTATTCCGACTTTTGGGGTCTACCTGACTGAACGCGGTGTAGTCGCGGAAAAGAAGGCGCCTATGGAATCCTGTCAAAGCCAAAAAAACTGGTGGAGCATGACAGGGTGAAGAGCAGCAAACTACAGAGTCAAGGGCAGACAAATTACATTACTGTATATATATATATAACTCTAACTGAGTGGCTGTAGGTGTTAGAGCTTAAGAATCGAAAACGGACGCAGAAATCTCTGGTGCACATCCCTTGAACACGATGAATCTGGACTAAGAGGTAGCATCGTGCCTCGTAGGCCTCGGTCACATGGCCCCGTGATGCCTCAGGTCCGACATTGAAGTCCCTCTCAGTGATAGATGAATGAACCTGACAAACGGCTCAGAATTTCGAAGGCACCCCCGGACAGCAATGTCCAGAGAAAACAGAGTTGGGATGGTGGACGAAGGGCTAAAGAGTCCACTCCCCAATACCATAAGGTTACAACGCCACAGTGGGGTTGCGACATTCACTGAAAGCTGAATAGTTTTGTCCATTCAACTAACGCACTGCTGCAGTGGTGACGTCGTCCGGGTGGCTTGCAGTTGTGGTGCTGTCTCTTTGGGTGGTTTTGTCGCTGGTTTGCTGGTTTCTTGATTAAATGCACCCACTACTTTCAGTCAGACAGCAATTTACATATATAACTACGCAGCTATGGAGGCTAAGGTCAGTGTTGGAGGCTGGTCCATTTTTGAACCCTCAGAAGGCATTGGTGGTGAACAGAAAACGGGTCGCCTTGTCGTCCGTCCCGCAGTTCGAAGTTGTCCAAGGAGAAGGTGGCGAAGTACTATCGCAAGTTCCAAGGGCCGCTGATGTTGAAGGCTCTCAAAGAGCTCGCAGCCAAAGAGGAGGCCGTTCAACAGTTTGTTCAGGGGAGTGTTTCATGATGCTTCCCACCTGTTGGCCCACCGCAGGTGAGCAGCTGGCGATGGAACGAGGTCTTTTCTGTGCCATCCAAGGCCTTCTCTGTGCTTTGACAAAACATGGCACGCCGCATCTCCTTTGGCCGAACAGGTGGAGACGGAATCTGAGAAACCGATGGAGAAGGCAACGCGAACAACGCATCTGATAGCTGAATAGCCAGAATCATCGCCCAGTTCCAAGAACAGAGTAGACATATTCCCATTGATATATTGAAGGAGCAGAAGCGCTCCCGCTCGCATCAAGCGCGGAAGCAAAGACTCAGAATGATGCAGCAGGTGGGGTTGTACACTTCTTGCACGCCTGTGGAGTCTCGCTCGGAGTTCGGTGGACAGATATGGCCTTGTCACGGGGGACACAGCCCGATGATCCGGACAGCTTGTTTTGATTCTCAAGACTGCGTCTCCCCACATGCGCATGCATCCGCGTGCCATATATATGGAACATGATCTCACATGCCCGTACATCTCTGCCAGCTGCCTCAACACTGATCGCTTTCACTTGTGGTCTTGCGGGTTGCAATCCATTGACCTCCATACTCAGAAAGATGGAAACCAACTAAGTGCCCAGCGGTTGCCGCAACCAGGTTGCCACAGAGGTCTTGAAAGCCAAACGAGATCTTGGGGACTGCTTTCGAGAAGCTGACCTGCCAAGGCGCTCCTGAGGTTTCGGAAACACTGGAAGGAACCACCGCACCGAAAAATAGGCAGCGACCTTCGTCCTGTAGACTCTACTGTAGACGCTCCCGCAAAGGGAGGCACAGAGCGAATCAGCTTCAAGCAGCGATAGCCTTCGGCCGACCGAGGTTTTGCAAGCTTGATTCTCACTAATGAAGTCACTAGTGACACATACATAGTTCAAAGATGCTCAATCCCTGCTCCACTTTGCAGGCTCGCAGGCTGAGTGCAGTTTCACCGCCGTATTTAGTTCGATGGTGACCATTTCCGTGACACTTCGTAATAAACTCTGTTAGAGGTCAGCCAGCCTGCTGAACTTGTTGACATCCACGGTCTTGTCCATTGGGTGCCTTCCGAGCACTTTTTGCTTGGGTGTTTGCTTGGCAAAATGCAGAGCGAGCACAGCTTTCCAATGTGCCATTGGCTAAAACGAGCGTATATAGATAGCGGCCAAATATGTCTGAGAGTCCGAGAGCACGGGGGTCGTTGTACTGTAAAATAACCGATGTCCTGGTTTGTGGGACCTGCGTGGGGTGCAATGGCGCGCTTCCAGGACGGTGAACTGGTACAACAAGCACGGGAATCTGGCGGACCCAATTCGCCTCAACCAGGCGAAAATGAGATCGCTCACAGTCTTACAGAAATCGTTAAAACAGGGTCCTTTTTGTGATCTTGTGCATGCCAGCAGTTGTTGTTCGGATCCTTGTTCTGCAAGGTGGCAGATGTTTTGGCCGAGATCAAGCCAAATCAAGCCATGAAGATCCTGTACGACTTAGACACAGCCAAGGACAAGGAGAGGATGTGTTTGCGTTGACGAGAACGCGACAAGGGCAGGCCACACCTTTTGTTTTGCACTAAAGCGTGCTTTTTTGAGCGGGCGCCATCTCAATGCCATGGTTCATTGAGGTCTCTCAAAACAGAACGGTCTTTTGTTGAGTCATACGTGAGTCATCTCATACGTCATCCAACGTCATCCGACGCGCTTCCTTTGCCTTTCCTTGGGGCTCCAGGAGACGCTGCAGGACCCCACCAATTGGATCATCGCCGAGGCGCGGAAGCGGCGCCAGGCCAACGAGCAGCCCAAGGGCAAGGCGCGGTGCGATGAAGAGACGAAGTCCGAGGTACAGTAGTTGGTAGGTACAGTGGGTTCAGAGTAGATAGTGCCATATCAACCACCGAACTGTCTGATGAATGTCCGTATCAACCACCGAACTTGTGGATTGTGCCTACTCTCCATCCACTATAGACGAGGAATCCGGACCAGTACCGTGAATCATGTGACATCAGGTCATGACGTGCTGAGTCCGCTTTTAGAAGGCATGTGCTGCCTGTCATTACACGTGCTGCCGCTCAGGGGGATGGAAAGGGTGAAGAGAAGGACAGCAAGATCAATCACAAGAATGATGGCCGGGCCACAGTTGCTGCCAGCCGTTTTGCCACATTCTACCGTGGTGCAAAATGCATGCAAAAAGGTTTGTGAGCAGCCTTAGGCATGTGAACAACAAACACAATTCCAGCGCTTTTGCTTGTCTCCATTCCAGGCAGCAACATACTGTGCCTCAAGACATGCAGGGTTATTTTGCAAAAACATTTCCTCAATACCTTGTATCAAGGACGGCATACAGAACCGCCTTGAACACAGCAATCTTTCAATTTTCTTTGGCTGCCAGATTTGGTTTGGGTAAGTGGATGGCCTCATGGGCTCATGGGCAGAGTTCTGCTTTGTGGAATGTCAGACTCAGGCAAAACCGAGAAGCCACAGGATGTTCCTGAATGGCGTAGCTCCTGGTCTCAACAGCTATCCCGGGGTAGCAGTTGTGTTGTTTTGACAAGGCATTCGGTTGGGTGTTCCTAGCCTGATTTGCTACAACTGCTTGAAGTCAAGAACGGGCTTGCAGAATTTGTTTGCATTTCACTCATTTCAGGCCAAGATGCCAATGACAAAAACGCCAAGGGCGCCAACAAAGGCAAGGCTCAAACGTAGATGTCAGCCTCACATGGACCAACTCCAGTGGTCGCTGTGTGTCACAGATTCTTCAAGCGACCCCAGCGCCATCATTGGCAGACCTCAGAAGGGACACGGCCCCAACGACCGCTGCGCATGACAATGAGGGAAGCCCCAAGAAGGAGACACTTCCCCCCGACAAGGGCCAATGTTGTGGGGTTGCAGGCACTGGAAAAGGCACCTCAGCTGCATGAAGCAGAACGGCCCGGTTCTGGACTCTGTCAGGTACCAGGCTTCCAGGCTGTTGGGGAGGTGGACTTGGGCGCTTTTGTCGCAAAAACAGTCCGGCGTTGCACTTAGGAAAGGCTGAAGAGCCTGAGGAGGAAACAGACCAGCGACTTGGCTTATGACTTGTTGTCCTCCCCACTGCTCGGGCACGCGGGTGTGTATATATATATATATTCATTCATTCGAGGTAGGCAGGGTCGGCGATGAGGAATTATTTGATGTCATTCATTTTAAGTGCACTCCTTGAAGCTTGCGGCTCAAGCCAAAAAGATGAAAGGAGTGACGCTCCTGAAAAGTCTAGTGTCTCTGACTCTTCAACAGTTTTTCTCTTCCTGCGTCGCCATGGACGATCTGCACATGTGCCGTGCAGTGGAGCAGGAGCAGTTCAATGCCTGGTGCACGGCTGCTGGCATTGCGACGGCCAGTGACCTTGCCCTTTACTTCACGTCTTATGCTGGGGCGCTGAGGGAGGCTGGGCGAGCTATGGCCTGGTTGGGACTTGGCCCGGAGGGCGAGCCGGGCATGGCTGCCCGGGGGCGTGGGCTTTTTGCATGTGAGACTGTGTGCCAGCCACGTCCTGCGCAACCCTCTTCTGCAGCAGTGCTTCTCACCTCGTCTTCACCTTCGGTGGCCAGGCCTACACTGACTTCATTTGCTGGGCCTGTCTGGCCCGAGTGTGTGCCCGACGAGCGCCCGTCTGGCGCGGGGAGGCGGCGCCCCTCCCCGTTCCTCCAGGACTTGCTTGGTCTTATGGTGACGCTGATGCCTCCCCCTTTGGCACGAGAACAAGAGTACCTTACCAACTCGGGCCTTTGCTGGCTTTGCGTGAAGGGGTTGAGGGGCATGGCTGTTTGTACTTGGCTGGTCTACGTACAGATTTTCTGTTGTTGCGGGAGAACATGTTGGGCTTGTGGTTTCGGCTCGACAATGACACTCCAATGTTCAGGTCCATTGTATACACTGCGCCCCCATCTTTCCTGGGATACTCCTTGCATGGTTGCGCCGGACTGGTTTTGACATTGAGTACGATTGGCTGGAGCAGCCGCGGGCCATTGATCGGGGAGCTGTACTCAACCGCAAGGGTGGTCAGGGCATGTTTTTGGGCCCGTGACAACCGTGCCGGCCCGCTTCATCAGTTGCCACGCTATCCGGTGACCTTTATTTGTTCTGCCAAGGCCGGAGCCGTTTGACATTGGCATCTTCGAGGGGGCGCCCTGGTGTCGCTGGCGGCAAGCCAACCCTGGTTTTCGCAGCGAGACCACCATGCCGGGACGGTGCATGAGGCTTTGGGCTACGACCGCGCCATTTGTGTCTCTACCTCAGTGACTCTCTGTTGACTGCTCCTGAGTGGCTTGCTCTGCCTGAAGACACTTCCTATGCTTTGGCCCGCCAGCTCAACTTTGATACTTGCATCAACACCCAGAAGTGTTGCAAGGTGGGTGGCCATCTGTCCCTGCAGGAGGATGACAATGTGCGAAAAGGAATCGCGTCCGAAGCTGATTCAGATCTTATCAAGTCAAACTTAAATGATGCAGCCGAATATATTCATTCATTCGAGGTAGGTAGGGTCGGTGATGAGGAATTATTTGATGTCATTCATTTTAAGTGCACTCCTTGAAGCTTGCGGCTCAAGCCAAAAAGATGAAAGGAGTGACGCTCCTGAAGAGTCTAGTGTCCCTTCAACAGTTTTTCTCTCCCACCCACCACACCCTGTGCTTTGTTCGAGTGGTTGCAGGGAACTCTGTGGCAGCTGTCGGCCAGTGTGTCTACGTTTGCGGTGCATTCAGCAGTCTGCCGGGTACCACATCTCATTCCGTTCGTTCCGTGGCGGCTGTCCGCAGAATATTTTGCAGCAGTCGGCTAGGCGAAACGTTCCAGTTGAGCTGAGCCCTGATACCCCTCGGCAGTGGCGTTGCGAAGCAATTGCTGGTTGCTGCTCTATTCAGATACCTTTGCAGCGGCAATGTGGGGGCATTTGCCTGTCACTGCATTTCTTTTCAATTTGCAGTGGCAATGCGGGTGCTATTGCTGGTCACTGCCTTTCTTTTGATGATTTTAGGTGGTAGCAGTCCGCCATGTACCACTGGTCCTCCATGTCCTGTGGCAGCTGCCTGCTGAGTGCCACCGGTTTTTGCAGCAGTCGGCTAGGAGAAATGCTCCAGGAGATTTGAGCGCTGATAGCCTCGGCAGTAGCATTGCGAAGCGAATGCTTGGCGCCGCCCTTTTTGATTCTGTTGCTGATCACGGCATTTCAATTTGCGGCAGTGACATTGCGGTGCAATTGTTGGTCACTGCCGTGTGCCACTGGTTGATCGAATTTTCCAGTCGCTTCGTTTTCCAGGGCTGGCAGCGGCCTGCAGAATGCCAAACATTTTGTAGCAGTCGGCTAGGCAAAATGCTCCAATTGAGTTGAGCCCTGATACCCCTCGCAGTAGCATTGCGAAGCAATTGCTGGTTGCTGCTTTGCTCCGGTACCTTCGCAGCGGCAACGCGGGGGCATTTGCCGGTCACTGTATTTCTTTTCAATTTGCAGTGGCAATGCGGGTGCTATTGCTGGTCACTGCCTTTCTTTTGATGATTTTAGGTGGTAGCAGTCCGCCATGTACCACTGGTCCTCCATGTCCTGTGGCAGCTGCCTGCTGAGTGCCACCGGTTTTTGCAGCAGTCGGCTAGGAGAAATGCTCCAGGAGATTTGAGCGCTGATAGCCTCGGCAGTAGCATTGCGAAGCGAATGCTTGGCGCCGCCCTTTTTGATTCTGTTGCTGATCACGGCATTTCAATTTGCGGCAGTGACATTGCGGTGCAATTGTTGGTCACTGCCGTGTGCCACTGGTTGATCGAATTTTCCAGTCGCTTCGTTTTCCAGGGCTGGCAGCGGCCTGCAGAATGCCAAACATTTTGTAGCAGTCGGCTAGGCAAAATGCTCCAATTGAGTTGAGCCCTGATACCCCTCGCAGTAGCATTGCGAAGCAATTGCTGGTTGCTGCTTTGCTCCGGTACCTTCGCAGCGGCAACGCGGGGGCATTTGCCGGTCACTGTATTTCTTTTCAATTTGCAGTGGCAATGCGGGTGCTATTGCTGGTCACTGCCTTTCTTTTGATGATTTTAGGTGGTAGCAGTCCGCCATGTACCACTGGTCCTCCATGTCCTGTGGCAGCTGCCTGCTGAATGCCACCGGTTTTTTGCAGCAGTCGGGTAGGCGACATGCTCCAGGCGATTTGAGCGCTGATATCCTCGGCAGTAACATTGCGAAGCGAATGTTTGGCACTGCCCCTTTTGATTTCCACTGTTGATTCAATTTTCCTTCAGTCCTGCGATATTTTCCATGCTGGCAGCAGCCTGCGAGATGCCAGCTGATTTGTGGCTGTCGGCTCGGCTAAATGCTCCGGTGTGAGCGATTTCCATTTTGCCTGTGTGGTGTCTACCTGTGAGAGGCTTACTTTGCGGTTGCCGTCTGCCGGGTACCACTGGTTACTTAGAAGTTTTCGCGATGTTCATGTCCGTGCTGGCAGCAGTCTGCAAGATGCCAGCTCCCCATTGCGGCTGTCGGCTTGGCTAGATGCTCCAGTTGTGAGCGAGTTTATGTTAGTGTGGTAGCTGTCTGCCGAGTACTGCGGGTCAATTTCAATTTCTCGTCTACGCTTTGATGCTTTTTCTTGCTGGCAGCAGCCTGCATGATGCCAGACGAATTCCGGCTGTCGGCTTGGCTAAATACTCCCGTTGTGAGTACTGATACCCCTCGTCAGTGACATTGCGGTGCAATGGTAGGTCACTGAGTTTGACATCTGTTTACGCAGTACACGAGTTGGGACTCTATGGCTGCTGCTGTTCGTCATTTTCTTTTCCACTCCCACATAGTCATAGGACTGACATTCAGTATCCTCTTGACTACTTTAAGGGAGTCTACCAGGTACGGGTAGGAAACGTATACCTGGCAGAGGCGTAGGCCACAGTGACAGGGTCACATTAACCAAAGCACTTTTGAACTCAGACCGAGTCAGACCTTTCAAGCTTGTGCGAAAAGGAATCGCGTCCGAAGCTGATTCAGATCTTATCAAGTCAAACTTAAATGATGCAGCCGAATATATATATATATATGTGTTTGTATATACATACATACATACAGTGGTGACACAACACCCCCAACACATAACAACAAAAACATAGATATACGTCTATCATAATAACAACCAAAAGCTTTGCCAGGCAGTTCAGTGATTCCAACATAGCCAGCCGCAGATCTCACCACTCGAGGTTCCGTGCGAAGATGAAGCGAACCATCAACTGGTGCCCCTGATCGTTCAATTGTCCTGATCGAGCAACCGAGGCTTAAAGGCCAACGGAGGGGTCTTGTTCGACTCACGGTGTGGCACGTCCACGGCAGACCTGAGCAGGTACAATCGCCATGGCCACCTTTGTGCTCCAATTCGCTTTCAGGAGGTCATCACAACTCTCGGCAGCACGGACCCGCGTGTGGCCATGAGGACAGCTTTTGCCACCTCCAAAGATGGAAGGTTTCCTGACCAAGTGGAAGGTTGCTTTCCATTGCGCATACAGCCGTGCATCAATGAAACTCTTCATTTGTGGAGTTGAGCGTTGATGGACATCGACCGACATGCAGGATCTTGAACGACTTGGACCAAGCCAATGCAGAAGCTGTGCTGAGTGATCCGACCAAGTGGATCATTGAGGACTGGGACCATAAAACCAATATATAACCCCATGGAGGGAAGCCAGAGAGACCGGAGCGGTGCTGTCCCAGGCCGAGTTTTTACCAAACGAAATAAAATCAACATCAGGAGTGCCGCCGTCGCGTGCCTGGAGTGCGGGCGCCGAGCGCGCGCTCGAGGGTTGGGTTCAAATCGATTTGTCGCAAGTGGGCTCAGTATGCGTGGTGTGCCGCGCGTTCTCCAGCCTAACTTGAATGCCATGTCAATGGGCAATAGGCTATAGGGGCATCACCAGCTAGTGATGAAGTCGGAATAAGCCTCCACGCTGAGTTTTTTTTTGTTTCTATTTTTTGGATGTGTTACGATGTGCTACGTTTGGCTCAAGCAGGACTTGTTTGCCATTGCACATTCGCCTGTAGTCAGCAGTCCTCAGTTTCCAGGATGACCTTCAAAGCTTTGGTCATTTTGTTTGCTGCCCAGGCTGGCTGCTTGGTGTCTGCGGGTCCATTGAACAACTTGCTGGCAGATCTGACCGGACAACACCACCACGAGGGAAGCTCGAGCGGTTTGATGGATGGTCACAACGTGCATGACACCGCATGTGGCCCAATGGCATCCAGCTTCACAACCTTCTTCCCTGATGCAGCAGCTCCAGTCCACTCAGATCACTTCTTTCCGTCAATCTCATCAGAGAGCGTGTCAGGAAGCCATGCAGTGCACCAAGGTGACGCAGCTCACTTGGACCAATTTGACCAGTCATTGCTCGCCACTCGACGCCCGAAGATGTTCGTCAGCTTTGAGAAGAAATGAGAGCATATGAGAGCATTGGAGGCTGGTACAGAGCTATAATGGAAAAGCCTCACAGTTTCAAACACCGCACGTGAGGTGGAGGAAAAAGGGCATTGCGACCCCACAGGCGGCCACGGTGCCACGGTAGATCTCAGGACCCTGTTGACCCAGTTGACCCAGTTGACCTGACGAACCACCACCACCACCACCACGACGAAGACTACTGCTACTGCTACTGCCACTGCTGCTGCTACTGCTACTGCTGCTACACGACGACGACGACTACGACTACTACAGCTGCTACGACTACTACGACTACTACGACTACTACGACTACTACGACTACTACGACTGCCACTACCACTACCACACTTGCATCACACACAGTCAATCGGGTCAACTGGATCAACTGGGCTCAACTGGGTCAACTGGGTCAACCGGGACACCCTGTTCAAGCGGCTCAACCTACGCACTCAAAAAGAGAGACTTGCTTGAAGAATCCCACTCACAAGACAGAACTGACAGAACACAAAGCGCCACAAAATAGCTTGGCTTGCACAATTGCTCACACACACACACACACGCACACGCGCTGCAACGCGTGACATCCATAGTTGTGGAGGGAAAGGTCACAAAGTATTGAATTCTTGACCACACAGGAGCGATGGAGGAAGAGATCGAGGAAGAGTCGGCAGGATTGCAGAAGTAGATGCAGCGGCAAGAAAGAGAGCAGGCTAGCATGACAATGACATATAATGACTAGTACTCCTACTGTAGGTCATGTAGGTTATTTATTTGTAGTTTGTTTTTCATGAAAGAGGGACATGTTCAAGCGCAGAGTCGAATGCCATGGCGCTTCGGCTTGTGGCACTCCAAGTGTTGGTGTGCTACAGTGTGCTTGCAGATGAGGCACCATTCAGAAGATTAACATATTATGGTAGGCACTCCAACTTGCTGATGCATCGAGTGGCATGGAGTCTCTGATAATAGGCCAGGACCCATAGAATGAGGGTGTTCTGCCCTGGCAGGCTCCAATCATAGCGCTTTTGCAGCTGCAGCTTGACGTGCAAGAGGTCACGCATGGGGCACATGAGCATGAGCCCCCGGCGGGTGTTTGCAAAACGACCTTCTTGGAGCAGGACAGGGACAAGGGCCAGGGTCAGTTAATCGGTCAGGAGCCTACATGTCACGCCCTCGCCCCAAATCTGTTGACGATGTGTCCATTTGGGTTTGTTTTAAAGTAGGGTGACCTCCCAAAGAATGCCGGGAAGAAGGGAAACAGATCAAAACATATCAAAACCCATGGTTGGTGGTTTCCCTATTAAAATGTACATCCATTTTGCTTTTTGCATTTTTTGAGCTTCAGACCAGTTCACAGGACATGACACGACCAATCGAAGAGATTGTCGCGGAGCAAGATGACGATGGTTGGTGTCTCTTTGGCTCTCTCGGAGAGTGGGCTCGACAGTGTGCCATCAGCCGGCAGAGAAAGACTGTGCGGAATTTTGTTGATACTTGGTGGCCGATCTACCAAGATGTGCTCACCAGGCCAGAGGCTACACGCTTTACCTTCAGATTCCCGGACGGGCGTTCGCTGACCACGAGGGATCATCATTCGCCATTGGATGATGTGGACTGCTTTGTGAATGGATGGCTTGCCTTGCCCCGGGGCCAAGTTGTGAACAACTTCACGTTTTTGGAGGAAGTATCGAAGGCTTTCTGTGCAGATTTAGAAAGAAGCCTGCCAGAGTACCATAGAATTTCAATCAATGATCTGCATTTGGAGACGCAAGCGGACAATGCATCGTTCCAGGACCTTTGGGTGCTTGGGAGGCCGAATTTGGGACAGTTTGATGCAATTGTGAACAAACTCTGTAAGAATATGCGCGGATGTTATTCTGCTGCCAGGAACTTATGAAAAGCAGCTCGACGAGCGGCAATTTAACTGCGTCAGTGATCCATGGCATGCGCCTCCATGCTGCCAGCAAGTGCTTGCTGGGAGGACGTTTGGTGGTTTAGCAAGTCTGGCGCTGGAGCGGGGTTGTACTGTATTCAATTCTGCTTGGCACCCTGCACAGGACAAGGGCCTGGATCTCCGGGAGTGATATGCGACATAGCCAATTGCGCAGCATCCACATGCCTGGGACCGGATGGAGAGCTCCTCTATGCCGTTTTGGGCGAGTGCCCAGACGTGCGCGCATAGGGCATCAAGATGAATCACGATTCCTTAAACCTGGCAATCGCTGAACCTGTCACAGCGGAAGGTCGGTTAGTTTTGTTATGTCTCACTACACTTAGACCTGAGTCCCTTCGTGGCCTGGCCTCATCGAATAGACAGAGGAGGCCATTGCTCTTAGATTGGAGGCCATCGCTCTTAAAAGGGTGGAGGCCATAGCTCTTAGCTTAAGTTCCCCCCAACATCTAGGAACCAAATCCTTAATGCGTGAGCTATCCTGCGTCCAGTCACTAGAAGTGTTTTGTACCTAACAGGGCCACTATCTCTGGCTACCTCTCTTCTACCTCTTCCTCCTAGCGGCCTACCCCCACGGGCTGTAAAAAAGGACTCCAATGGAATAGACTTCCAAGTCAAGAGCCGTGCCTCGCACACCTCCGTCGTGTGTGAACCGCATGGGGATGACCTCGTGCCTCCGACGTGTGGAGTGGAGAGCGGATAAAACGGGAAGAGTCTGACAGGTGCCATCGATCCGCATGTTCAAAGCCATTTGCAGCTGCTTTAGTGAAGGATGACCAGGTTGGTGGGTGGAGGCAGCCTGAGGGATCCAAGGCCCATAGAAGGGATGGCTGGATGATCTGGATGTCTGCGGGTTTCATTCTCTGATTCCGACGTTCGTGCTCGATTTTGCGTGTGTTTTCGGTAAGGTGTCTTCGTATACCAACCGCACACGCACCTTCTGGCTCGACAGTTGACAGTGGCCGTACCGATGTCCGGAAATGGTACTTCGATGGCTCTTGTTGGTTGGCCTGGGGGTTGCAGAAGACGAGGCCTGGCTACTAGGAGCAAGAAGCCCTAGTAACGAAGGGCATCGCTACTAGGAACAAGCCATCCAGCCGTTCAGACTTTGCTTGTGTGCAGTGGTGCGGTGCGTCGTTTATTTCGGGATAGCTGGGTGGAAGCGTCATTGAAGAGCTGGGACACCATGGCCACCATGGGGTTTGAAGCGTGGCGACTTCGGTGGCCTTTCCATCAGGGTGATTTGATTTGTGGATATTTGTGGTGAGTGTTTCGTGGTGATTGGTGATTGTTTATGAGACTTGGGTGACTCTTTTTGGATATTTTTGTGGTGGGCTTTCGGGAGATCAATCTCAAGTGATTTGTGGCAATTTGCCGTCTTCGCTAGCCTCTTGCAATTGTACTGCAAAGTCAAATGATGCCGTGCCGCTTTTAGGCATATGCTGCTGATGCTGGTCTCAAGCTTTTGGTATATGTACTGGTATATGTGCATGACGCATCTCTCGTCAAAAAACATTTTCTTCGCTGGCCAGTTGCTAGGGATATCCGGAGACCAAGATGCCCAGATTTTTCACTGGGCCCCGCGCAGGAGGTGGCATCCGGCCAAAACTGCCACTTGCTGCAAACAGGACTTGGTTTCCGCAAACATCTTCCTCTTGAGCACGGCACAAGCATCGTCGCCGACAAGGAGAAAGGTATTTGCCGAAGCCATTTGTCAGAGCAGGACAGCCATGGGGAGTCTTCATGACAATTAGATTGTTGCGATGTTCCGCACGTATGGCTTCTAGTAGCACGAAGCTACTGGTAGATTAGTAGTTATGGCCTCCAACCTACTAGCTAATTGCTAGTAGAGAAACCTCTTTCCTTCTGATTGGGTTCTATGGGTTCGATTCCATTCACACAGAGAGTGCACCGCTGCGGCGCTGTACATCCCACCATTGCCATGACTCGTTGGGTTGGCATAGTTACATAGTTAACGGCAACCAGATGAATGACCAAGTCATCGCCTTATGGTGGAGGCCATCGCTCTTAGAGTGGAGGCCATCGCTAGTAGGTTGGAGGCCATTCCTATTAGTTTGGATGCCATTGCTATTAGGTTGGAGGCCATTCCTGCAAATCCCGTTTGGTTTGACCGGCCTTCCGAGCTTGGAGGATTGGTTCACTCCAATCGGGCAACTTACAGAGGCGTATGGTGAGGATGGCTGGTGCATTTTTGGTGCCTTGGGTGGTTGGACTGCCGAGTGTGCAGTTAGCCGACGATCGCACAATATAAGCAATTTCCTGGCTCAGTTTCTTGTTTGCACTGGCATGTTTTTCCGCTGGATTAGGATATATATATATATATGTATATTATATATGATATAAGTCATTAAAAAATATAATATAATATATATATATGTGTGTGTGTGTGCTCTGCTTTAGCGGAATTATGAGTGAGAGAGATTCCCTGGAGTTGTCGGCGATCAGGCGGGCGATCAAGATCAAGGCC